AGAGTTAAGCATGCTTATAGCTATGACTGGTTAAAGAATAAGCCTTTTACTCCAACGAGTATATTAAGACTCAAACCTTTTGCCAGAAGACTTCCTGGAAAAGTAAAGCTCTCTTCTACTGACGACATTGTAAGTCTAAGCTGCCAGGATCTACCACTTCAGATGGAGGTGGTGTGAGGTGGGGAAAGCCTGCCTATGAATAAAAAACACACTAGAGAAAGATTGGGTGGGTCTAAGAGCTGAATAAAGAAATTTGCAGCAGAAGTTTTAGAGACCCCGAATCCAGCTGTGACTAAATTTAGATTCGCCTGGGCTTGTCAGGCACAGGAGCCATAAAATCTCCTGTCCCTTTCTTCTGCCTTTCCCTGACTTTTATTTTTTTCTTGCAAAATCCGGGAGGCCTGATTATTACTGGAGGTAATAGTAGGCAGAAAGTATTATTCTTCCGAAGTTCAATGTACTACATGTGGTTTGCCCACTAGAGGGTGTAGCTCACTTTGCATTAGGAACAAGGGATGTTCAGAGAGGTAATGCTGGGAGACATTTACTATCAGAAAGACCTGTTGAAACGTTGCAAGGTCTCAGCTACAGGGCTCACATCCCTGAAAGGGGCACTGTCTCAGAAGGACTTGAAGAGTGGTCAGATGACCAAGGCATGACTACGGGTATAGAAAATAGAGCAGCAGGAAGGTGCCAGTTGGAAACTTCATCTTAAGATCCATGAAGCTGCTTTTGTCTTAAAAAGCCATAAAAAAGAATGAGATCCTGACATTTGCAATAGCATGGATGCAACTGGAAGTCATTATGTTGAGTGGAATTCACCAGGCAAAGAAAGACAAATTATGCACATTCTCACTCATTTGTGGGAGCTAAAAATGAAAACACTTGAACTCATGGAGATAGAATGGAATGATGTTTACCAGAGGTTGGGAAAAGTAGTAGGGGTGGGAAAGGGGGGGTGGTTAATGAGTACAAAAATAGAATTAGATAGCATGTGTAAGCTGTAGTATTGACAGCACAGAAGAGTGATTACAGTTGACAATAATTTGTTGTACATCTAAAAATAACTACATAATTGGATTGTTTGTAACACAAAGAAAGGATAAATGCTTGACATGATGGGTATTCCATTTACCTGGATGTGATTACTATGCATTGTAAGCCTGTATCAAAATGTCTAATGTTCCTCATACATTTATGTACTCACTATGTACCCACAAAAATTAGAACATTTTTTTAAAAGGTTACAGACAGGAATAGGAAATAGGTTTTGTCTTCCATGTCAAATTTGATGACAAAGCATACCTGGATTATTATGTTAAGAAAGATTTTGAGGCCACATCCAGCTTAGTGGCAGTACTATTTGATTACTGGTATCCAATGTGGGGATGGGGAGAAGCAGGAGGGCTGGATGTGATAGATATGTGAGATCTATGGTGAGATGTTTTTCAGTATGAGCACTATCAGCATCCTGGATGGGTTAATTCTTACCTATGGAGGATAGTCATTGTGACAAGTAAAAGTTAAGTCACCACATACTTTAAATATCCCTTATGGGAATAGTACTGCTCTACTAGAAAATTATTAGGTTAAGCCAATAGTGACTTGACTGATTTAGATTTGCCTGAGGGTTGAACTAGAGCTTTTTAAATTCTTCAAGATTAAAAAATGAGAGTTTATTTATTTATTTATTTTTTTAAGATCCTGCGACCAGACTGAGCTTGCTGTCTGTAGGGAATAGGAACTGAGAATGAGGAGTGGAATGAAGAGTTTCCACTGAAGGGAGTAAGATACTTATGGTGACAGGAAGCCGGGTTGAACCTGACAGTAGGTGATTAATATGTCATCCCTGGTTAAGAAAAGGGTAGGGGGAACCTCAGCTGTGGGAAAAGGGGTATCTGTTAAACATCAGAGTCATTTGGAGTGCTCTCATGCTACCATTTTCATTACTGTTGGGTGTTTCTTTTGCCAGGATGTTGTCTTTATATAACAGTTCTCAGGGAGCTGCCCTCTACTCTGTACCTTTGAATCCACTGAATAAGATCCTCCACCATAAGTTATTTTGGGGACAAGTTAACATATGACTCAATGCATAAATACATACATGAATAAAATATTCCTCACTCCTAATTTAAGAGTTCATGACCATCTATTTTCATATTCTTCATGCCCCTAGGAATTCCTGTGGAGAAGGGAGGAAAGGAGCAACAGGAATGATATTATTGCTGCCTTCAACTTTTGCCTTTGTCATACTCTCCAGGCAAAGACCACCAGGAACACACCTATAGTTGAACAAATTGGGCTTATTACTTATTGCAACTTGTGAGAACACACACACCTGGGAGCCACAGGCATGTCAGTAGGAGGGAATTAGAAAGGTCTTATTGGTAAGATTTGAGATTGTTAGGTTAATTTAGGGGAAGGTTTAAGGAAAAGAGGCTTTGCTTTGGTTTGAATGCCTTCAGAAATTGGGAGTAATTCTTTAGAAAGAGGGAAGAGTAGCCTAAGGCTAAAGTTGTAATTGGCAAAGAAGCAGCAGGTACGTTAGTGTAGATAGGTCAATATTTGGTATTTTGTGACTTTGATAATGTTCATGTTTTACCTGTGTTTAGACATGATTATTAAGTGGTATTATCTTAGTCTTGATTTCTCATAGTCACAGAGTAGCTTTGTCAGACATAAACATTCTATAAAATCATTTATATCAAATGGGAGAACATGAAGCCCCAGATGTAAGTAGGAGACCAACCTGTACCAATGCTAAGGCAAGCTTCTGCATGCCATGGGTTGTTTTACTCTTTCTCACATTTTATCATATTGTTTAGTAATCATTTATTTTATTGCTCCCTCACTGGACTATAAAGTGCATGCGTGCACAAACCTGTTTTGGTGACCACTGAAAACCAAGAGCCTAGCCAAGTCTCCCAATTTCATAAGCACTTAAAGAGTATTTACTGAGTAAATGACTGAATTGTCCAATTAGCTGATTAGACTGTGAGTTGCCCAATGTTAGGGGTTACTCCCTATTCAGCTCTGTATTTCTAGAACCAAACAGTTCTAATGCATGTCGTTAAATATATCTTGAGTCAAAGAGGAACTTTCCATAGGATGAGATTTATTGATTTTCCTTAAAAAATAAGATAATATAATGAATTGTGCTTTATGAATGAGAGATGATGCTTAATTCAAATGATTTTGTTCACTAAAAACAAAGAAAAATCACTTCATATTCAAGATGCATGGGTCTTTCTGCATTTTCTATGGTATTGAATATCGAGAGTAAGATTCAAAGCCCTAAGAGAAATTGATATAAATATTTAGAAACCATTAATATGAAATATCATATTTCTTGCCCAGCCTAGCAGCATATTATAATCCCTGTATTATACAATAATTTTTTGAAAGGAGAGAGAACAAGCCCAAGAGGTGGAGGTTGCAGTGAGCCAAGATCGTACCACTGAACTCCAGCGTCAGTAACAGAGCAAGACCCTGTAGATAGATAGATAGATAGACAGATAGATAGACAGATAGATAGATAGATAGATAGATAGATGATAAATGGAGAGAGAACTTGATTTGCAAACTCCTGGCTTACTATTTGTAGCCCATAGCTACAAAGATTTGCCTCTCTTCTCACTATACACTTTCACCCTGGAGACGTGACTGATTTGTAATCATGTTAAAACATTTGAGCTTTCAACAAATGTATAAACCTGTATGTTAAAAAGTAGAGGGAGAGGAAATCAATGACTTGATAAGGTATCTTGGGGAAAATCTTTTCACTTCTCTGAATCAGAATTACCTTGTTGGTAAAATGACCATAGTGATGAATACCTACTGAGATAGACTTTTTTGAGGATCACTTTGGAAATGCTCTATAAACTGCAAGAATACTTATTGTTGAGACAAAAACCATCGTACAAGAAGCATACTCATTTTTGGGGCAAAGACCATAATGATTAAGAACAGGCTAAACTCAGGAGTGTAGAAAACAAATGAAAAATATCGGTCTTCTTCAGCAAAAATGTAATAACAATAGCAAGCAAAATACTAAATTTTATGCTAATAGTCAATGAAATTTTGCATGCTTATTTCATGCAAAAGTGACCCATTAAAAAAAATTTAACAATAGCCACATAGGAGGTATTGTGAGGTAATAAGAAATACTATTCATCTACCATAAATACTTCCTAATTGATATTAGGCAAAACAATCAACTTTGGAGTACTTTCTTTTTATATGTAAAAGGGAATAGCTCTCCCCTGCCTACCATGTACTATTGGTATAGGTCTTATAGGGGGCTTGTTTGGAAAAGTACTTTCTAACTATATAACTATATAACTATAACAAGTTATAACCATATATTGTTTGTAGTAGTAGCTTGAAAATAATATCTTATTTTTTATTTTTATTTTTTTGGCACCTAGCACAGTGTCTGGAACTCACTAGATGTTTATTAAACATTCTTGGGACGAAAGGATAAATAAAAGAAACTGTTTTGAAAAATCCTAAAATTCTGTACAAATAAAAGATTCTGATCATAAGATACTGGGAATTTAAACTTATAGGCTCTGGAAATCAAATTCCTAGATTTGTTAATTGGTTTTTCTCCCTACAAGCTATTATATCTTGGGTCCCTGAATCTCTCTAAGTATCAGTTTCATCATCTATAAAATGAAAGGTAATACAATTTCAGCTTTGTAGGATTGTTTTGAATACTAAATGAGATAATGTCTATGTGGTACCAAGGGCAGTGCCTGGTATGTAACAAGCACTAAATTGAAGTCAGGCCTATTTATAGGTTTTCAAAATATCCCTCATGATTTATTCTCTTCCGTATTTTATATGTCTGAGTATATACAATAAATACATTTTTATAGTTTAATTATACTATATTCATCACTTGATATATATTTTTAAACCTAATAATGTTAGGTCATGATTATTTTTTGAAAACTTGATAGGTGATGTCTAGTGAGGTTTTTTTTTAAATCATATAGAGCTAAAAAAGGATGAACCTATAAGCAAAAAGCCAGAGAGCTTTGGTGTACTAAAGTGGATCAACCTCTGGCTGCCCCAAGATGCAGAAACACAGTACCAGGTAGAACTCAAGCTGGGGCTTGAAGGATGGAGGGAGATACATGTAAAGTTAGTGTAAAGGTATGCTTGTTCCCCTCACTTTATTATGAACATGACCTGGCCACACATTTGTACTGCCTTGATTATCCCAGAAGAAAGCAATTTCGGGCTAAAAGAGATAAGTGTAAAACTTAGGGAGCTAGATAATTCTTATGCATAAACTCCCTCTGAAATAGTGGGCATGGGAAGCAAAATGGATTTCTCAACTGACCTGGAGTAAGAAGAAGATGAGTGGTAGGGTGGAGGTGTAGTAAACGTCAGAGAGAGTCATGGAGAAGGACATTTAAGTGGCAGCACAACAATGGGAAAATAAGATTTTTATGTATGAAAACTGTACTTCCCTCATATTCCACTATAGTCTCTGGAGATTCTGAGAACTATTTGGAAAATGGAAACTTTGGAAAATACTGGCTTTCATGCAAATAAAGTTAGTGGGTATTAGAGCATTGATATTTGTAGCATTACTATAGGCAGTGACACAATTCCATTTACTAACTCTTTTCCAGAAAGTATTAATTATAGATGCACTATAATTATGTATTATATTATTAGAAACTATATGTTATTAGATTTTTTTTGTATTTTATCCTTAGAACTATTGTGCAGAACTTATCTATGTATTATTCTTTGACAATACCTTTAATATTTCCTGAAGATAGTACCCAGAATAGCCAAACAATCTGAAAAAGTGCAAAGTTGAAGAATCCATACTTTTTATTTTCAAAGCTTACTATGAAAATCTACAATAATCAAAGATTGTGGTATTGACACAAAGACATATCGACTGATAGAATAAAACTGAAAGTTCAGAAATAAGTCCTTATGTTTATGGCCAATTGATTTTCAATGAAGGTTATAAAACAAATGAGGAAAGATAAGTATTTTAAACAAACAGTGCTGGTATAACACATAAAGTTGGATTCCCTGCCTCACGCTATGTACAACACTAACTCAACATGAGTCAAAGACCTGAATTTAACAGTTAAAACATTGGGAAGAAAACAGAGGAGCAAATCTTTGTGACCTTGGGTTAAGCAATGTTTTCTTAGATATGACATAGAAAACACAAGCAGCAATAGGTAAATTGTACTTTATAAAATTAAAATCTCCTGCACTTCAAAGGACATTATTAATAAAATGAAAAGAAAATCCAAATAATGAGAGAAAATATTTGTAAATCAATATCCATTAAGGAACTAGTATCCAGAATATATAAAAACTCTTACGCTTTCTAGATTCCTGTTCTCTGGGTAGGGCATCTCCAAAAGAAAGGCAGCAGCCCCATTCAGGGGCTTGTGGATAAAACTGCCATCTCCCTGGGAAAGAGCACCTGGGCAAAGGGGTGGCTGTGGGTGCAACTACAGCACACTTAAATGTTCCTGCCTACCAGCCCTGAAGAGCGCAGCAGATATCCCAGCACAGCACTCGAGGTCTGCTAAGTGATACACTGCCTCCTCAAGTGGGTCCCTGACCCACATGACTCCTGACTAGGAAACATCTCCCAGCAGGGGTTAACAGACTGGCATTTGGCAGATGCCCTTCTGGGATGTAGCTTCCAGAGGAAGGAACAGGCAGCAATCTTGGCTGTTCTGTAGCCTCTGCTGGTGATACCCAGGCAAGCAGGGTCAGGAGTGGACCTCCAGCAAACTCCAGCAGACCTGGAGCAGAGGGGTCTGATGGTTAGAAGGAAAACTAACGAACAGAAAAGAATAGCATCAACATCAACAAAAAGGACATCCACGCAAAAACCCCACCGAAAGGTCACTGACATGAAAGACCAAAGGTAGATAAATCCACGAAGATGAGGAAAAAACAATGCAAAAAGACTGAAAATTCCAAAAACCAGAATGCCTCTTTTCCTCCAAAGGATCAGAACTCCTTGCCAGCAAGGAAACAAAACTGGACAGAGAATAAGTTTGATGAATTGACAGAAGTAAGCTTCAGAAGGTGGATAAAACAAACTATTCCTAGCTAAAGGTTCATGTTCTAACCCATCAATATGAAAATTGCCATCCTACCCAAAGTAATTTATAGATTCAATGCTATCCCCATCAAGCTACCATTGACTTTCTTCACAGAATTGGAATAAACTACTTTAAATTTCCTATGGAACCACAAAAGAGCCCATATAGCCAAGACACTCCTAAGCAAAAAGAACAAAGCTGGAGGCATCATGCTACCTGACTTTAAATTATACTACATGGCTACAGTAACCAAAACAGCATGGTACTGGTTACAAATAGATATATAGACCAATGGAAGAACATGGTATGGGTTACAAACAGATATATAGACCAGTGGAAGAACAGAGGCTTCAGAAATAATGCCACATATCTACAACCATCTGATCTTAAACAAACTTGACAAAAACAAACAATGAGGAAGGATTCCCTATTTAATAAATGTGTGTTAGAAAAACTGGCTAGCCGTATACAGAAAACTGAAACTGGATCCCTTCCTTACACCTTACACAAAAATTAACTCAAGATGGATTAAAGACTTAAACATAAGACTCAACACCATTACAAAAAAAAAAAAAAAAAACTCAGAAGAAAACCTAGGCAGTACCACTCAGTACATAGGCATGGGCAAAGACTTCATGATCAAAACACCAAAAGCAATGGCAACAAAAGCCAAAATTGACAAATAGGATCTAATTAAACTAAAGAGCCTCTGCACAGCAAAAGAAACTAAAAAAGTATCATCAGAGTGAAGAGGCAACCTACAGAATGGGAGAAAATTCTTGCAATCCATCTGACAAAAGGCTAATATCCAGAATCTACAAGGAGCTTAAACAAATTTATAAGAACAAAACAAACCACCCCATCAAAAAGTGGATGAAGAATATGAACAGACACTTCTCAAAAGAAGACATTTACGCATCTAACAAACATGAAGAAAAGCTCATGATCACTGGTCATTAGAGAAATGCAAATCAAAACTACGAGATATCATCTCATGCTAGTTGGAATGGCAATCATTAAAAAGTCAGAAAACAACATATGCTGGAGAGGATGTGGAGAAATAGGAACACTTTTACACTGTTGGTGGGAGTGTAAATTAGTTGAACCAACGTGGAAGACAGTGTGGCGATTCCTCAAGGATCTGAATCCAAAAATACCATTTGACCTCACAATCCCATTACTGGGTTTATACCCAAAGGATTATAAATCATTCTACTATAAAGACACATGTATACTTATGTTTATTGCAGCACTATTCACAATAGCAAAGATTGGAACCAACTCAAATGCCCATCAACGATAGACTGGATACAGAAAATGTGGCACATATACACCACAGAATACTATGCAGCCATAAAAAAGGATGAGTTCTTGTCCTTTGCAGGGACATGGATGAAGCTGGAAACCATCTTTCTCAGCAAAATAACACAGGAACAGAAAACCAAACACTGCATGTTCTCACCCAGAAGTGGGGGTTGAACAATGAGAACACATGGACACAGAGACTGAACATCACACACCAGGGCCTGTTGGGGGTGGGGAGCTAGGGGAGGGATAGCATTAGGAGAAATACCTAATGTAGATGATGGGTTGATGGGTGCAGCAAACCACCATGACATGTGTATACCTATGTAACAAACTTGCACATTCTGTACATGTATCCCAGAACTTAAAGTATAATAATAAAAAAAGAAATATGGTTTCTATATGTAAATAAAGTTACCATTATTATCACTAAAAAAAGAATCTTACCACTCACCAATAAAAAGACAAATAATCTGAGTAAAACGTGAGCAAATGATTTGAGTAGATATTTCTTCAAATGGCTAATAAGCCTTTGAAAATATATATGACATTATTAAATCTTTTGGGAAATGAAAATCATAATCAGGTTTTTATGATTGTGATACCACTTTACACCTATTAGGATGGTTATCATTAAAAAGATTAGCAGTAACAAGTGTTGGTAAAGATGTGGAGAAATTAGAACTCTCGTGTACTTTTACTGGTATTGTAAAATGCTGCAGCTGATTTGAAAAACAGTTTGGTGATTCTTCAGAATGTTAAACATAAAGTTATTATATGTACCAGCAATTTAATTCATTGGTTCATACCCAAGATATATAAAAACATATGTCCACACAAAACCTTGTACATGAATGTGCATAGCCACATTATCCATGCAACCCAAAAGAGAAAACAACCTAATATCCATTAATGGATGAACGAGTAAATGAAATGTGATATATCTATACAATGGAATATTATTCAGCTGTAAAGAGGCACAAAGAACTGATGCATCTTATAACATGGATAAATTCTGAAAATCCATGCCAAGGGAAAGAACAGAAAAACAAAAGTCCACCTGTTATATGATTCCATTTATATGAATTGTCCATAATGGGAAAACCTATAAAGACTGAAAGTAGACGTGGTTTCCAGTTACTGGGGTGGGGGAGATGACAGGGGGGTAGAGGTTTCTTTTTAATGAAAATTTTTCTGAAATTAAACAGTAGTGATAGTTGCACAACTCTGTGTATATATTAAGGACCACTGAGTTGTATAGTTTAAGAGAGTACATTTATTATTTATCCTATTAAAATTTAAATCCTAAGAATACATTTTTAGACTGGCAAGGTATTTTATATTTCCCTGAATTCTTGAGATTGCAGAGAAGATGAAATGTGGTTAGTCAATGATACATTTGGGAGAAGTAGTAGCAATCATCTATGCAGTTTCTTTCCCCTCTATAGAATTTCTGTGTGTGCCATGGAATTATGATCACAACATGAAGGCCTATCAGATGAGGTTTTGAGATCATTTGGAGGATACTGCCATAGTGGCTAAGGCTGACTACAGTATAGGTTATGTGGTCTGAGTGAGCTGGGAAATGTGGAAGGAGCACTAGGGGCTGAGTACAAAGGCATATTTACTGTATGATAGAGTGACCAACCATTCTGGTTTGTCTGTGACTTTCCTATTTTAGTACTCCAAGTCTCATGTCCCAGGAAAATCCCCAGTCCCGGGAAAACTGAAATGGTTGGTTCCCTAGTTGGTAGCAACAAAGGCCACTCATACCTGTTATTTACTAGGGCTTGCTGTATGACAGGCATTACCCTAAGCCTTCTTGATGCATTATCTTTTTTGGTTCTCAGAGCCAACCTCTGAGATAATGACTGAGGTTACATTTTCTGTCCTAAGTCACATAAGTTTAAGCAGAAGAGGTAAGGTCCCAATATTGTTCTATAGGTTCAGAGTCTTCATTCTTAAACACACATTGCATTCAGAGAGTTTGAACACATATTCCATTCAGAAAGTTGAGCCAAAATAAGTGGCTAATTTTTTTAAAAACTTACCTAAAAAAAAAAAAACAACAAAAACCAAAAAACAAAAACTTACCTATAAAGGGTGATTTAATTTTACAAATGTGTTTTATACCCAGTATCAAATTCATTCTGCCTAAGAACCCTTTGAATTATTCATTCAAAATGTACTTATTGAGGGCTTACTTGGTGCAGATACTGTGTTAAGTGCTAGAATTAATCAGAAACCAGCCTTTTGACTTCTTGGAGCTTACATTGGTTGTTAGGCCAAAGCTAAAGAAGCAAAAAATTAAAACATAAGGTAGTTATGACAAGTATTACAAAGGAAATAGAAATAGATTAACATTAAAAAATCAGAGGTGAATATATTTTAGATAGAATGGTCAAGGAATCTACCTGTGGGAATGTATATTTAGACTGAAACTCAAATGAAGAAGAATTAGCCCTGTGAAGAGCATGGGAAACATTCTTTCCAAGAATGTTTGGAGAAGACAGGTTGTCCAAAGTCTCTGAAGCAGGAAAGAGGTTTGTAGTTTTGAAAATATCAGAAAAGAAGAGTCAAAGTGGTTGGAGCATATGTAGCAAGTGAAGCAGTAAATATCATTCTAGATTTATAGATGAGAACTTAAGGTTTGGAAGTGTTATGAGTCTTCCCAATATCACTCAACCACAGGAGCAAGATTCAACCCAAGGGCTTCTGACCTCAAGTGCTGAAACCTATTACTTTAGCATTATCTTGAAAAGAGTAATGTTTCTTAAAGCTATGATTTACATTTTAGGAATGGAACCTTTTTTTTTTTTTCTTTTTGCATGGAATCCCATATTGAAACTAATGTTCAAAACAGATAAAGAGATACTTCTTTCCTAAATTTGGAGATGGAATTCAAAGTCCAATTTATTTACTCCCTGTACCCCTGTTCCCTCAGGTTCAGCCAGTGGAACTGGGACTCCAGGGACATTTTTTTGTCTTTTTAGTTTACAGAATCACATTTTGAGGAATTCACAAGTGTTTTCCAAAACAGTAAATAGTCGATTACAGTCATGTTAGATTCATGTTAGATTACATGTTAGATTCTTAAAAGACGGTTCTATTTTCTGTTTCATGTTTTCATTTACATATTAGCGAAGCAGTACATGCAGGAATTAGGGATAAATAATGTTATTAGAAGTGCATAATGGGCTGATTCTTATGGATCATATGTGTTTATGTTGTACAAACTTCTTTTGATAATGACTGTACTGAAGGACCTAAAACAAAACTTACATGCAAAAACTTTATCCTGAGAATACTAAGAGTCATTGTTTTATATAAGGAGAAGTCTCAATCAGATTTGCATTTTAGAAAGTCCATCGTCAAGGTCATAGAGATTAGAGCAGGGGTTAGCAAACTTTTCCTGTTAAGAGCCAGGTAGTAAATATTTTATGTAGAGAGGGGATAATGTAAAATGTCTTTTAAACCTCAAATATCAAAACTATATTATCTTAAATTCAGCAACCAGACAGAGCCTTTGGGGTTGCTGGGGTTTCTGCTTTGTGGGACAACTGAGGCTGTATAGCCCAGATCCTTGGTTGTATAATACACATCTGCAATTTGTTAGAAAAAAAAAAAAAAACATTCTGAGAAGTGAGAAAAATGACTATACTGTCTGGGAATTGCTATAAGCACTATCCAGGTGCCTCTGGAATCATTTTGGTTCATCAAATTCTCCCTTTTAACTGTGGTGCCTGGAAAAGGATCCAATTTGTGGTCCCACTTTGGCACTGGGTATACTTTATAAAGTCCTCTGGGGATTAGGATA